CCTGCTTACAGGAAGCTCGTATACACGAAGAGACCATAAAACTCCACGGTCGTGACTCTCTCTGGGTATTTTCTAATTCTGACATCCTATAAGCTAGATAACGGGCTTCCCAGATGGCGATAGTGGTAAAGAACCCGCCTGCCAATGCAGGAGAACTAAAGGATGCCGGTCCAATCCCTGGGTTGGGAAGATTTCCTGGAGAAGAAAATGGCAACCCACTCCAGTATTCTTGCTGGAAAACCCATGGACAGAGAAGCCTGGGCAGGCTACAGTCCATGGGGTCGCAAAGAGTCGGACACGACTAAAGTGACTTAACACAACACACGAGCTAGATAATGCACAGTGTCTGTAGTCAAAAGAGCCATGAAGATCTCAGTTATGCTGTTTTCTAGCTACAAAACCTTGGACAAATTAGATAATCTCTGTGCCTCAGTTTTATCTATAAAATGGAGCTGATAAATAACACCCAACATCCTAGAGAACTGGCATGTAGATTAAAATAAAGTAACACACCCAGTTCACACAACGCCTGGAACATGGCTGTGGACACGCAATAACGTGGCTAACGGAACGATGAACAGGTGTCTAATCATCTGTAAAGATTTTGAGACAGTAATATGAAAATGAAAAATAAAATGATGAAAAAAAAGGGGGGAAGTAAGTGCACTGAAAAGAGACACCGACAATGTGTCTTAAGTGCAAAGGTTAGACATATCTGGCCTGGAAAAACAGCAGAGGCAGGAGTGAGCCAAGGATGGCTTCCTCAGTCTCGCACCAGAAGTGGCCCCAAGTTGCTGTTCAGTTGAGCAGAATTAGGGGCAGAGGCATTTGGGGTACTGGCCACCATCCACAGGAGTGTGAGACAACACACTGTTTGGCATGTGATCACAGCCAGCTCAGCCAGGCAGGGACTCAAAAGATAGGAGAGATGAGGCTAGAAGGGAGGCTGGGTGAGATCTTAGTAGCCCTGATGGACGTCAGGCGATGTGTGGGGATGAGAAGATCAATACTGAGAGCTGGCTGGCCCTAAGCTCAACAGTAAGAGGGACATGACCAATTATTCATCGAGATGGACTTTGGTCTCTTCCCCCACAGACCAGTGGGGGTGTCGAGGGTTTCCCCCCACCATTAGATCCTTGACCCAACAGCCCAGCAGGCCACTGGGCCCAAGGGACGTTACAGAAGGCATTGGGCATGGGATCTCTGCTCATATCTCGGCTCCGCCCAGCGTCCATCAAAACATTCTCACACTCTCACCATCGCACAGGTCATACACAAGGGGCCTTCAACAATCTTTCACTCAAACTGGAACCTGGGACCATGCCTTTCCTCTGAAACCACACCCTTGCAACTGCCCAGCAGTCTCGCTCTTTCCAGACATGCTCCCACCCAGGTCCCAGTCAGCACCTTCTCTACCCTCCCCGAGGCCTTACCGAGCTCAGGCGAGGTGGGCCGGGCCCGGCGACCTCTGCCCTGGCTGCGGGCCCCTCGGCGGTCCCAGGCCCCCCAAGGACCGTCCTCCTCCGGCCCTCTGCGCAGCCTCTTCTCGGCCTCGGGCCCCGCCCTGTTCTTCTCCAAGGTCTGGGGTACAGTAGCGCCCTCCTGGCCTGGCGTGGCCCAGGGCAGGAAGCGCACGGCCTGCGGCGGGGGCTCCCGCTTCCGACCCGGGGGAGCTTTCGTCCTGGTCTCGGGGGGCTCGGAGGTGGGGGGTGGCACCGGGCTCCGGCACTCCTGGATGGCTCTGCTCCGGGTCAGCGGGAACTGGTCCCGGCGCCTAACCTCCTGCTGCGGGCCTTCCCCCAGCTCCGTCCTGCCCGCTGGCCCGCGGCCCCGGGGCCTCCCTGGCTCATCCCCGGGCTTTTCCGCGACGCTCGCAGGGGGCGGCTGGGCGGCGGCGGGGCTCAAGGCCCGCGGGGTCTTGGGGGTGGAGGGCTGGGAGAAGAGCGGCGGCTCGCCGGGCTCTCGGGGGGACGGGGCGCGCTGCAGCGTGGCGCGCAGGGACTCGTGAGAACGCACCAGCTCCTCCCGCGACGTGGAGCGGCGGATGCGGCCCAGCTCCTGGGCGAAGCGCAGCTCGAGGTCGGACGCCGGGCTGCGCTGACGCGTGCGCTCGTCCAGCGAGGCCGCCTTCTGCTGGAATAGGCGGCGCCGCTCGGCCACGTTGCCCGCCGGCGCCCGCAGCTCCTCCTGCGAGGCCCCGGGCGTGCCCCACGGCCCGCCGCCCTCAGACTTAGGCTGCTCCAGCGAACGGGCCTTGCGCAGGGGCACCCAGGGCCGCAGGGGCGCCGGCGGCGAGTCGCTGCGCTCCAGGCTGCGCCGGCGCTCCTCGAAGAACTGCAGCTTGTCCAGGATGCGGGAGCCAGCGCGCACCAGCCTCGGGGAGCGCCCCAGCGCCGACTGGCGGCCCGAGGTCTCGCTCAGGGGCGTCTGGGGCCGGGACTCCGCCGTGCCCGCTAGCGAGGGCCCGGACGACTTGGACTTTTTCCCTCGCTTCTCTTCGGCGGTGGCGTCCTCGGGAGGCACCGGCTCCCGAGAGCGCCGGTGGGGCGGCGTGGGGGTGGCCAGGGGCTGGCTGCCGGGTCCCGGCGGGGGCCGCTTACCCACCCGAGGGGACGGTGGGGGCAGCAGCGCGGATTTGGAGGGGGGCGGCAGGGCTGGGCGACGGGGGGCTTCGCTGGCGGGCTGAGGCTGAAGGTCAGGCTCCTCCTTGTGCGGTCCGCTCTGAGGGACACTGCTGCGGGACCAAGACGAAGAGGGGCAGGAGATTCAGGGAGCCTCCCCTCCCAGACCTTCGGGTCGTGACGGGAATCGGGCGGTGGGCATGCTGGGAAGGCTTGGGGGTGACATCGGCCAGCCCCTCCTCCGCCCCCACCCCCCCGAAGAGGAAGGCACAGCCAGAGCAGGTGCTGGGGAGAGGCTGGCGGCTCTGGCCCCGGAAGATTGGGCTGGTGGCTGGGTCCAGGAACAGACTCAGTCCCAGGGGCTCTGGCCAGCCCCCTCTCCCCCGCCCCAGAAGCTGGGAAAGGGCAGAAACAGAAACTGAGTGGTGGGGGGAAATAAAAGGATGAGGCTGAAGACCCAAAAGATGAAGTGGGCAGGGAAGGCGGAAGGGTGGGATGGGGCGGGGCCCTCTCAGGAATTCAGCCTCCCACTCATTCCTGCCCCCAGCTGGCCCCCAAAGCCCTGCCCTTCCTCAGCAGGGCATACCCCTTCACTGTGCCCCAGGAAGAACAGACCCATGCCTTCCAGGAGCAGTGCCCTCATCCCCGGGATTGCCTAGCACCTCCTCAGACCTGAGCCCCCACCACTGCTGACAGCAGGTGACAGCTGAGGTCCCTGGAGTGGGAGACGAGGGTACCCAGGTTCCCATGCCCTTTGATCATTCTGGCCCCGGTACAAGGCCTTTGACTTTGTCCTGCCCCTGGGAAAGTTACCTTAAGTCCTTGGAAACCACCCCCTGAGAAACACAGAAGCTCCCCAAAGGGGTATGCTCAGGAATAACTCAGCTCCAAAATAACTACTGCGTGGGCCTGAACAGTGGGTGTGGGAGGAGAGGAGGAAGGAAGGAGCTGGGCAGCCCCAGACTGCCCCTCTCACCTCCAGAACTTTGATGCCCAAGAGCTGGGCCTCAGTTTCCCCCATCTGGACTCTTGGGGGCACACCAAACATAGAGATTAGCAAGAAAAGGAATTGGAGATATTAGCGTCTTACCTAACACATTAGAGAAAGCTTAATAAAAACTTATGAAATGGCTCATTGAGTACTTATTGTGTGTCAGGCATGTACTGAATGCTTAAAATGCATTGAGTCATTTAATCCTCACAACAATCCTTTGCGACAAGGACTGTTATTATCTCCATTTACAGATGAAGAAACTGAGGTTTAGAGAGGTGAGGTGCCTTACCAAGGTAACACAGCTAGGAAATAGTTGGTACTAGATTGAAACCCCAGTAGTCTGGCTTCTAAGCCCTTGTTCCCTCCAAAATGTCTAGGATTCTGGGGGCACAGAGAGGGAAGAAATAGCATGGTATTGGCCATGAACATAAATTCTCCGGTGCCTGAGTGTCAGGCTACCTGGATCAGTCACCTACACAGCAAACCTAACCTCCAGCAGGGTGTGGGGTGGGGGTGAGGGGCATGCAATCTAGAGTGCCCTAGGGAGAAAAACCTCAACCAGCCACCTGCAGGGAGGCAGAGTCTACTCTGGGGGAGGGACAGCAGAGTCCCTGAGGAATGGCCTGTGGGAACTGGGTGAGGCAGGGAGAGAAATTGGGGACAGCGGAGGAGATCTCTTGCTGGCAGTTTCAAGCTCCAGGCCAGCCTGTGTACCACAGACATCACTAAGGAAATGGGTTCCTCGGAAGTTGCCATAGCAACTCCAGGCTCCGGCTGGGGCCTGGCAAAGAAAGGCAGGGAAGGAAAAGGCAAGTCCAGGGCATGGGAGCGCCTGGTTAATGCCAGCCAGATAAAGCAAGGGCGCCTCCTCTGCACCTGCCCCCAGACCTCTTCCCTGCCTACCACCAGCCACCTCAACCACCCGCAAAAAGGCCTCCCCCCACCAGGCTCTTTCTTTCTCCTCCATGGTGGTACCTCCCCCCCCACACACACACCCATACCCATCACAAATCAGGCCCCCCTCAGCTCCCCAAATGCCCCCTGACAACCTCTCTCATCAGCCACTCCCCTCTTCTACCATAGCACTCCCTTCTGTATCTGCCAGTCCCACATCTCCAAAACCCAAAACCGGCTCCAACGCCTCACTCCCAACACCTCGGCGCCTCACCATGGCCTCCCAGGACCACCTTCAACCCCACCCTGAGGCGTCTCCCACATGGGGTCCTCACATGCCCCCACCTCCATCACTCTGAGCCCTCTGCCTCCAGCCTAGCCCCCCCAACCCCCAATCTCCATCCCACCCTGCCCCAGCACCCTGCCACCCACACACTTCACATCCCCCTGCTCTCCCAGGCCCCTGGCCCCAACAACCCCCTGACCACCTCGCTCTCTTCTGTCTCCTGGTTGTGCTCTCGCTCGCTCCCTCCTGCTCTCCCGGGAGCTGCCGTGCAGAAAGGTTCCGTTCCTCCCAGAAAAAGGCCCACATGGGAACAGGAATGTGCAGAGATGAAAAGGCAGCAGCTGCTGAGACAGCAGGCACGGAGGGGCCCCTGTGGGGGGGGGGGAGTGGGGATCCTGGGGACAACTGGAGCCTGAATGGGTGAGGCGGGAGAGGGCCCCCGGGAGAGTGGAAATCTTGCAGGAGATAAGGAAGGGAGAGAGGGGTCCACGAGACCATGGAGATGATACAGTGAGCCAGGACAGGTGGGAGCAGGAGCATGTGGGTGGTGATGGAACAGGAGGAGGATGGAGCCGTGTGGGAAGACAGAGTGGGCAGCTGGGGCTAGGAGACGAAGCAATGGGGGGCGGTGGAGAAGTGCACAGAGGGATGGATGGTGCAGGGGACGTGGGACATGGACGCTGACGGATGGACGGTGAGGGGCAGTGCGGGACGGCATGGTGAGGTGGGACAGTGAAGGGCCCAGGTAAGGCCGTTACTTACACGTGGATTGAGAGCGCCCGTCCTCTGTACAGGCTGAATGCGCTGCCGTACAGGTCACTGGCCACCGAAAGGCTATCCTCTGACCCCCAGCTTGCGCCCACCAGATTAGCTCGAGACGCCCGTACCAGCGGCTCCACCCCCAGGTGCCGTGGCCCGGCCCCGGTTGCCTGTGCTTGCCTTGGGCTGCCCGGGAGGCGGCGGGTGCCAGCCCTGCTGCCCGCTTCCTGCTCCAGGACCGTCTGCCCGCTGCCCCACCAGCTCACTTGCTCCTCTGAGGTGCCTGTCACGGAGGTCGGGGGCGTGTCCAGGGAGGTGCCCACCAGGGTATCAGAGCCCCCTAGGGAGAGGAACACGGTGAAGCCAGGCACCTTTGGAGGGAAGACCACCTGCTGGCTCTGTGTGCACCCCAGAGAGCTCACCCGTGGGGGTGCTGAAGGCCCCGTCATCCCGAAGCTCCAGGCGATGGGTCCCCTGCACATCGCTGATGTCATCCTCGCCCGTCTCCGAGTCTGGAGGAGAAGGGGTCTGTGTGGGCAGGGCTCTCCTCCCCCTGACTCCGACTCTTCCCTCCTGCCTCCCCCGCAGCAGGCTCCGCATCACCACCAGAAGGACTCCCAGCATCTATCTTTTCTCCCCTTTAGCTCCCCACATCCCGTTGCCCATCCTGGGAGCCTCAGGGTCACCCCTCCCATGCTGGTCCTCTGGCTCCTCACCCCTGCCTCCGTGGGAGTGCCCTCAAAGCTACCTGCAGCCCCCCCACCCGGCCACTTGATGGACTGCAGGGCTGTAGCCCCTCCCCCTCCTCTCCGTCAGTGATAACTTAAGTTCCCGCACAGTCCCCCAAATAACAAGATCCTAGGTTCCAAGGCTCTGAAGTCTGGGTTCTGGTACCCAGGAACAAAGGGGAGTCACCTCAGAGTCGTATTGTCAGGGCACTCGACCAACCGCAGGGCCAGCCTGTCCTTCACCCCAAACCAGCCGGAACACATCAGGGTGCAGCTGAGGCAGGGTGAGGAGAGGCCGGGGCCGGGCAGGGAAGCAGGGGAGTGGAGGGCTAGGCCAGGAGCCAGTTTCCTACCGTAACTTTGCTTTCTGCAGGAGCGGAAAACTTCGCTTCCATAGGAGCAGCAGGAGAGAGACATGGACAGACTGTTATCAGAGCGTTTGTGGGGTAGGGCATGGTGGGTAGGCAGGACAGAGGGGCCATCAGGGTACCCAGTGCCCAAAGATGCCCTGTGGGGATGGGAGTCGGGGGAGGGAGACACCTGGGATAAGCAAAGCATCTCTCATTTGCTGCCTGCCTGCCGGCCCCAGTGGGCCCAGCACTAGAGAGCCAGTGTGCTTTGGGGGGTTCTTCCAATGACATCAGTGATTCTGCACCCTTCACACTTTCACCGGTGCTCCCACTGGCCACACACACACACACACACACACACACGCACGCATACACACACACACACACACACACCCACTTGTACTCAGCCCAGCCATAGACCCAGGCCCCCCATTACGGGTCAGGCCCACCTTCTGGTACAATATCTGCACTGTGCTTTGACCTCTCAAAAGAACCTCTCCATCTGTTTGGCATCATGACGTGACCTGCACCCTCTTCCCAAACCCTCTCTGCTACTGCTGAATGGTCCTCAAAAATGAGGTCAGGCTGGGAACAAAGTTTCTTGGGCATGTTTCTAACTTTCCCAGATTCTATCAGGTTCTGTGCCTCAGTTTCTCCCTGAGTGCCATGACAAGCAGGAGCCACGTGCTGGTTGTAGAAGCATGGCACTTAACTCATCCCCACCTAGCCCACAGATGAAGAATAATTAAGTCCGGGACCCATGATGGGGTGTGCCAGTTAACCCCCACCCCTTTTGCTAGGTCCTTTCTCAGCTGCAAGGGGTTTTCTTGGGTGGGTGGGTAGGTGGTTAGGTAGGTAGGTGGGTGAGGGAATGTGGGGGTCCTGTATCTCATGGGCCGTCTTCAGGCCTGGGTGCCTCATGAAGGGACATGGACCAAGAGGAGGAGTGTGCACGGGCTAGAGCAGGCAGCTCACGGTCCACGCACCATGGGTGAGTCGGCCAAAGGCCCGGCGGGAGTGGCCGGTTTTCTGAAAGAGAAAAGCCAGAATGAGGAGTTGAGGGGAAGGCTTGCTCCTGATGCTCCGACCTCCCTATACCTCTTGTCCAAACCTCTGTATCAATCAGAAACTCGGCCCAGTGGTCACTGGGAGCAGGGGAAGTGGAAAAGACCCCGGCAGGCAGCTTCCCCTAAAGGGAATAAATATCTCCAGTTTTCCTTGCTTGTCAGCCCTCCCAGCTGGAGCTCCTGCGAAGCTCTGGGGAGGAGCTGGGGAGGAAGGAGGTAGGACTAAGGGTCAAACGCTGGTCAGAGGACTGGGGACCTGAGAGACACTCCCGGAGATAGAGAGGCTGACTGATATGAAGGAAGAGATTGGGAGGGGGGGCATGCTTGGATGACTGGGAGATGGAGGGACAAGGACACAGATTCCTGCTGGGGAGGCGGGGAAGGACAGACACCTGAGATAGGTGTCAAGAGGGCAGGAGGGTGATGCAAGGGCAGAGGGCAAGGTCCCCCAAAGGACGGGAGCCTCAGGATAGCAAGAAGAAGGCCCGGGTCCACGGAGAACAGGGCAGGGCTAGTGGAATGCACTGAGCTCAGCGCGGATCCCTGCGCCGTTGCTTCCAGGAGCCCCGGAAGATGGAAGGCTCCGGAGTGGGGGGCTGGGGAGAGCCAGCCAGGGGCACGGAGGGGTCGGACAGCGGCGAGAGGTGGTACAGAAGCCCGTGGGCGCTCCACGCCGAGGCCGGCTGCGGGGGGGGCCCCCTCCTTCCCCCGCCAGCCCGCACCCCCCCAAGAGCCCCTTCCCTTGCCGGCTGCCCTGCGTCCCCGGGGGTGGCGATCACCTGCCTCTCGGCTCCCCCACCCCGCATCGGCCTCCTGGATCCTGGGCACATGGGGAAACTGAGGCACAGAAAAGGGTGCAGTGGCCCCTAGGAGAGTTCGGGCCACTCGCTCATTGGCCGCCCAGCGCGGCGTCCAAACCACCCCGCCCGCCTCCCGCGGGGCCGCTCCAGAAGGTCAGCCGCATCTCCACTGGCTCACTCCACAAACATGCGCGCGCGTCCGCCTTACCAGGCAGTACCCGACACATCGCAGGGCCGCGGCGCCGGGCGGGGGCGCCCGGATCATACACAGGGCACGGGTCCTCCTAGTGACCTGCACCCAGAACGCGAACCCCCTCAGGCTGCTCAGGAAGGTCAGAGAAGGCCCTCAAGTTCCCTGATCTTAGGTCCTCTGTCCCTGCACCCTGGCATACACACACACACACACACACACACACACACACACGAGCTAAGGTGCCCAAAGATTTTCCTGTTATTCACAAATATAACCCAACCTCTCATTCGTGGGTGAGCACACATCAAATTTTCTTTATCCTCCTGGCATTTCGTACCATGCATATTTTGCCTGCACAAAATGCTACCCCTCCCCCCGCCACACACAATCATTATAATTAAGTTTCCTAAACATTTATTAAGTGCCAGGTACTTCATCGGGCTTCCCTGGTGGTTCAGATGGTAAAGAATCTGCCTGCAGTGCAGGAGACCTGGGTTCGATCCCTGGGTTGGAAGATCCCCTGGAGAAGGGAATGGCAACCCTCTCCAGTATTCTTGCCTGGGAAGCCCCATGGACAGAGGAGCCTGGAGGGCTACAGTCCATGGGGTCGCAAAGAGTCAGACATTACTGAGCAACTTCAGGCACTTTATAAACGTTACCTCCCTGACAACAACCCTGTGAGCTTGAAACTCTTATGAACATTTAACTGACTCCATGTAATCAACAAGTGACTAAGGCTCAGACAAGTCCTATCACTTAGCCAAAGCCACACAGGTTCTGTGCCTCCATGATTGCCCAGATCCGAATCCCCACCCCAGTACACGCAAGTAGTGCTGATCCTGGTTGCTGAGATGTGACTACAGTCATTATCATTAACACTGACAGCATGCTTAGTATTTACCGAGCAATGGCCTAGGCACTTTATATGAATAAACTCAATCTGTGCACAGAGGCACAGAGAGGTTACTTGCCCAAGGTCACAGAGCCTGTAGTTGGGAGCCAGGGATTCTCTCCCAGGCACCGTGACTGAGTTACTGACCACCATGCCATAAAACCTCATATGCTGATTGGTTAGGAGGACCCTAACTTTTTTTCTTTAAAGCATGGGTCCAAAATAAATACTGAGCAAACTGATGAGTTGTGTTCAGCCTGCACAATATTTTAAATGGGGCAAGCCTGCTCAAATTCAACTGCTGACAAGACCACCTCTCTCCTTTTCAGTTTCTACTTGGCTCCTGAAGTTGTTTGAGTTTTGTGGCTCTTTATTTTAAAGTTTTAGGGTCATGTCTTGTATGTTCTGAGTGCCTGCAGGCAGTCCTGTTACCCAGGCCCCCAGATGCAGAGGTTGCACCTACAGACACACACACAGGACGTGCAATGAGAAGGGGACACGTGTATGTCTTTATCAGTTCCAGCCGGAGGACTCTGGACACACATAGGCAATTTCCCTGCCCACCCCCAAACACACCCACTCACAGATGGGGGAGCTGAGTGAGGAGAGGGGGTAACTTGAGCCCCTGTTCCCCAGGAGAATCCGAGGGGCTGGCACATTCCATAGCAAAAATAACCAATGGGCAGCAGGCGTGAGTGACGGGACAGCTGGGCTGAAGAGGGGCCCATGAGACTCGGTTCCTGCTCTGGGCTCTCGCTGCTCACCCACGCAGGCCAGCCTGGGGCATGCTCTCAGGGTGGGCCTCCCCGAGCTGGCCCCTGAATGCCCCATTTTCTTCCAAGGCTGGGCAGCTGGGCCGCCCTGCCATTTCTCCACACCAGACTTCCAACTTCTGCCCCGCCAGCATGTCCCCTTAACCACAGAAAAGCCATTATCATGCCACGTCTCATCTCTCACAAAGACCCTCCACTGAGCCAGACACCCACACCCCCCTCTTTCCTGCCTTGCTCTAGCCTTCTCCCTTCCTTCCTCCTGCTCTGATTTTCTGACATACTATATAATTTTCATATAGTTATGATTATTGCATACATAATGTGTTCCCTCCCTGGAATGTCATCTCTAAGACGACAGGGATTTTGGTCGTCCCCCCTCCCCCTCACTTATAAATCTCAAGCACCTAGCACAGTGACGGGCACTCGGTGGACACTCTGTACATGTGGCACATGGGAGGGGGCACAGAGCTGCTGGTGGTGAGGATGGGGGTGGGGCGATGGGGACTATGAATCTTGCTGGAGCAGGTCATTCTCCAGTCTTCCTCCCGTCTCTGTACTGACCCAGACCCTTTTCTAGAAACTGGAGACGGGACCATCTTGTTTCTTCCTGGGAGGGCTGCCCTCCCTTTAGGAAAGTTCTCCTGTGTGGGCT